AAAAAAAAAAAAAAAGGTAAAAAACTAAGCAGACAGTCGAGAAAAAACTCAGGGAACAAACTGAAATGATAGCAAAACAGAAGAAAAATCTTATGAGAATGTATTTAACTCAATTTTCAAACTAAAACATGTAATTATAAAATCTGCAAAGATAAAATAAAGAAACCAGATGCTTAACAGCTTGTAAACATTAACTATCTTTTACCAATACTTTGAAAGTAACAAAATAACTGGTTCATGAAGATGGCATTCCAATTCATTCACTTGACAGAAAGTGGTGGATTATCTTAAAGGAAACGTTAAGAATACTAATGAACTGGGAGGGGGCTGGGCAGGGAGAAAAGTACAACAATGAATGAATGGAAATCCAAAATCTCTGTAAATGTTCATTAAAATTAATAAAATTTTAAAAAAAATGTTATTTAAAAAAAAGAATATTAATAGAATGATTATTGCATACTAAGCATACAAAAGGGATCATGTGATTCTAAAAATAAGTTACCATACAGAACATTACTACAGGGTAGTATCAAACACATAGGCTTTGCTACTATATTATTTTTTTTAAGTCCTCAAAATATAGCAGTTTAGGAAGACAGAGGTGGTGTTTGTCCTCATGTCCAAGTGCAACCTGGTGGACACTTCATCAGGTAACGCAGGTCATTTTCAATGCTATCCAATCACACTGCCAATTTCTATTTTCCAAATCTATGATTCAAATCCCAATCAACTTATCACCTAATGAGAACATGAAGTACACGTTTAAGGATGTGATCTAGAACCTTGATCATCACTTCAGCTCACAACCCACTGGCCTGGTCTTAAAAGTCACACCTACCTGCAAATAAGTCTCTAGCAGGCAACCACATAATGCTCAAAACTTGGGGGTTATTTTAAAAGAAAATAGACTATTAGGTGAGGATGGGTTTTCTCTTAATGTATTTTGAGAATGAATTCTTGTTAAATTTTAACCCTGAAAAGACAAGATTTTACAAGATTCCTTATAAATCATCCAAGTTGTTTTAAAGTGAATTTATCTTTTAGAGATCCCTATGAAAATATTTAGGGGATTAAATGACATGCTGTTTGCTCCCAATTTGTGGGTGGGTACACAGATGACAAAGCGTGAGGATGGTGCAAGACAGGGCAAGATTCAGACCTACTGTTCTTAGAGTCACTGTGAGCTGTAATCGATCCAAAAGAACATAACAACAATACAGATGACACAAGACTGGCCACAAGCTGCTGTTATTTTATGAGAATCCATCACTTTGGTGTATGTTTGGAAAATTTACTTACTTACAAACCCAAAGATCATGTGCCAATAATGCAAAAAGACAGTAAAAATAACATAATCAAAGAACGAACCTACTACACTTTAAGCATTTTTAAATGCTGATCAAAATTACCCTGCTAATTTTATGACATGGTATGATACTTATTAATTACAATGCATTCTGATAAAACAAAATTTTCCAGTTTTGGCTATTAATCAATACGGAAATACCAAATTGGGTAGAAAGCTACTGGTGAAGTTATTTTCTTCCTAGGTATCAAAGGAGTAAGGTAATTTTTGTCACCACCAATTAAAAACTTTTACAAAATAGGACTGTTATAAAACAATTAAACCCTGCAAATGCACTAGTCTCCAGGAGGAAAGTCCTCGAGGAAATTCTGCTTATTAAAATTGCAATTTTAGTTTCCATTAAAAGGAGAATAAGACAACAGAAGATGGGTTGGCAAGACAAATTATTTCTTAATGTCAGTTGAGCTTATTTCAAATGAGATAACATATCTACACCAGGTTGGGTTCAGTATAATTTTGTCTCCTCAACTCATTTATCTAATTCAGTCATCTTGATTATAGCCTCACGGACTTCATTTTCAGAGAAAGCATTCTGTAACAAACAGCCTACACAACATGCTGATTACTGAACAGTTAATTCTAATTAACTTGGGCATGGCAAGAGAATTTTGATAAAGTCCTAGCATACAAATATAGTCTGTGCATTCTGGCCTAACTTCTATAAAAAGTCCACAGCACAATCTCCAGACAAAACCTGAGAGTCAAAGAGATCTAATTTAAAGAAACAAATGAGAAAATTAAAATCACAAATAATTTATTCTTCCATTAGAGTTGATACAGTTTTAAATAGCAACAAAGTACACAGTGGTGGAAAATTGGCACAGAACCTACAAGTACTTCAGTCACAATAAGGCTGTCCATGCTTCATCTGTTTAAACCTTGATGTCATTTTTCACTGACCAACTTGAGGGGGGAAAATAAGAAGCAAAACTATTCTGATCTTAACGCACGTTCTCTCTCTCTCTCTCTCTCTTTCATTCTCTCAGACACACAGAAATTCCTTTTTTTTATTACAATACAGTAAGAACAGTACATGTCACCTATTCAAATTTATGGTACTCTTTGGGGGGGAACCCAATTCAATTATAAAGACTATCTTATTCCCTGGACATAGGCAACTGTGATGAAAATAGCAACTTACCTTTGGGCTAGGTGCTCTCAGATTATGCCGAAATAATTCTGGTTACAAACTCTATATGCATGCTTTCCTGCCCAATAGAGTATCCCTGAATTTAGGTAAAATAATCAGGCACAGGAGTCTCAAATAATGATTAAACCATGCTAATAATAAACCAGGTGATCTGGCATGCAACTTCTACACTTTTAATACAAATTAGAATAAAACCTCATCAACATCTGTTTTATATGCACCAACATAAAAAAAAGGAAAAAGCATAAAAGTGTTCTTCTATAAACAGCATTGTTCAAGTTAACAAAGTTGAAATCAAGGTTTGTAAAGTCTCCTGAAATATATAAACCAATGATCTTTGTACCGTTAAAAAATAAAATTACTAGAACATTGACTCTTCTTTGATAGGATTTATAAAATTCTTTGATATGACTTACTAAATTCCCTGATTACTTAAAGTAAAAGTAATACTTCCATTTTCAGTTATTGCTATGTAGGGGAGGATTACCATGTTCATTTACATGAAACTGTTACCAAAGATTCGTCAGATCCAACATGAAGTAATTAATTATTGCCTTACATTTTAAAACTGTATTATAAATGAGCTTTATAAAAAAGGTTTGGATCCACAAAAATTGAAGGCTTCTAAAAAAACGGTCCTTTTACTCCACGCTATCACAGTGCCCTTGTGTTTCCCCTGTGAGAACCTATCAGTGGACACGCGGTGTGCTTTGTCATCTCCCTCAACTTTACCTTTACAGTACACCATTTTGAGACCAACACAATCAAGCATCTACCATGCTTCAATCCACATAACAGAGGATTACCAATTCTGCCCTTTGAGTAGTGTACTACCTTGCATATTCACATGAAATAAACATAATATACAAAATATTGCTGCTGTAAAAAGTGTACATTTCCCTCTTCCCCTTACAAAAGAATCTGTGGAAAAGTATTAAATTCCCTTAACCTTCATAAGCATACAAAGCTGTTCACACCTTTCAGTCTGTAACAGTCTGTTTGAAACAGTTCCGAGATCATTGTGAATTGGTTGTATCATTGTATTTTCTGTCCAATGTTGCCATCTAGAGTAGAAATGTGAAATCAAAAGTATTTTTGAGCTACTAAAGCTTTTTACAACTAAGCACAAAGGCTGCTTACTGAAGAAACAGTCACTTATTCACAAAGTTTTTCCAAAAACTAGATGGAATGAAAGGATCTCTTCACAGGGAGGTTCCACAGTGCTGAGGCGACAATATGGCTGCTAGCAGGTATTGGCTACTGGAATGTAAGGACTTTTTCATTGCTGGTAATTTCCATACTGTCCCTAAAAAAAAAAAGTAAATTCAGAAACATTAGTAGATTAAGAGTTTGACCTCAATTTGACCATAGCTGTTTAGCATAGATTATAAGTACAAAAGAATCTGTACCTAAAACAAAACACAATAGGTATATAATACATTAAACTGCAAAATGATTTCACAATCTTCAATATGAAGATGGGTCTCAGAAGGAATGGATCAATGAAACATTACTGGCAAGGTGTTTATAATAGTGAAGTTGGTTTCAAAGAGAAGAGCGAAATGGAGAGGAGGGATGGACAGGGAGAAAAGTGCAACAATCAATGAATAAAAATCCAAAGTCTCTGTAAACTTTCATGAAAATTAATAATAATTAATAGTAAAGTTGGGTGATGGATTCATTAAATTATCTCTTACTATTGTGTTACTCTTATATCTCCAAATTAAAAAGTTTCAGTAACATCAAGGTTTAGCATATTGGTTATGTTAGCAATCGCTCTCAGAAGCTTACTGTTTAACTTGGAGATCTGAGAGACACTAACGTGAAGTTTAAATTCTAATTCTTGTTGACTTTCCGTAAAGTCTGAAAAAGGGCTCTGACACTAATCTGAAAAAAAGCACTGACACTAAGTTTCTTCATTTATAAAGTGGAACACAGTTAGATCTACCTCTTTGGACTTCAATTTCCTTTCCATTAATGGTTATCCTTAATTCCTACACTACTACGTTTGTGGTATCATTTAATTACAAGAAATCATGAGACAGGGTATTTAAAATTAGAAAGAATTATAAATCAGTTGAGTCTCAATGCCAGAGGGAAATATGGCGACAGTGAATGTAAAGTTAAACTCACTGCTGCTAAGTTGCAATCAACTCATAGCTGCCACTCCAAGGAGCTTTCTGAGGCTGGGAATGGCACAGAAGAGAATGCCTCGCTTTCTCCGGCAGAACAGCTGGTGGATTCGAACCATTAGAGAAGCGCTACATTTGGCAGCAGAACTCTCTAGAGATTCCATCAACAGAGATCTCTATGAATGTACATTGTTGTTGTTGTTGTTGTTATGTGCGCTGAGTCACCTGAGAGAGTGTGGCACATATAAATGATGTGAAAGTGGAAGAGAAGTTTAAGAACAACTGTGCTGTACAAACACAAGCTATCATTTCTCTACTATACCATGAAGTATGGCCTAGTGGTAAGAAGCTGTGCTGTATGCCCCAGTGGCATTTGGTTCAAATCCACCAGCTGCTGCTCTGTGGGAGAAGGATGGGCAATCTCCTCCAGTGTGATTTATTGCCTCTGAAAACCTGCTAGCAGGTCAGCTATGGGTTGGTTTTGACTCAATGGAATCCAACAACAACAAAGCATTAAGTATTTGTGGACAAGAGAACTCTTGTGGCTTAGTCATAAGTAACTGTGTTGCCAACCCAAAGGTATGTGGTTCAAATTCACCAGCTGCTGCTCTGTAAGACAAAGACGAGCAATCTACTCTCATGAAATTTACTGCCTCTAAAAACCCACTGGAGGGTCACCTGTGAGTCAACAGTGTTTAACAACAGTAATCTGTAGACAAAGACTAAATCTATCCTTATGCCCTCAAGTATTGAAATGTGCCTGACTATAAGACATCTTTAATAAATGCATGCCAAACAAGAATCAATTCTAAACATCAATAAGCAAGTATTATATACTATGCACCATAATCAATTTCGAAAGCACAAAGTTAAGATTTAGAAACACAAAATAGAAGATAAATTCTACAAGAATTAAAAAAACAGTAAAAAATAATAAAAATGGAGCACACTAGTTTTCACTTCTGAGACAGACTGCTTCAGTCTTTGGCAGTCCATTCTTCCCAATACCACAATTCCAACGCTTTCATTCTTTGGGCTTCTCTATTCACTATGCAACATGCATGTGCAAAAGGATCTATACAAAGTATAGTGGCTTCACATGTACACCTTAGTCGTTAAACTGACACCCCTGCTCTCCAAAATTTTAAAGAGGCTTTTGAAAAGTAGATTTTTTCTCAATGCAATACAATGGTTAATTTCTTTAGTGTTGCTTCCATGGTGCTGATTGTACAATCAAGTAAAATGAAGTACTTGATAACATAAATCTTCACTCCATTTACGATGATGTTGCCTATTGGTCCAGTGATGAGGAAGAGCTATCCACCAGGCAAAGAAGCAAGGGCTGTGAGTCTGTCTATAATCTATGCGGCAAATACTGTCTGTTTCGATGACAAAGAAACTGAGGCATGGAGAGATTAAATAATGGGGCTCACACACTTGATAACACATCTCTAGGACTAAACAAATCACAATCAAGGCCAAAAGGCATATTGTAAATTCACTAACATCAGCATACTCCAATGTAGTATGAAAAGTTAAAAAATACAGATTTTGAAACCAGAAACAAATTCTACTCCTATCCACCATTTGACAAATTCCTGTCTTTGGGCAAGACATGCTGAGTGTAGCATTTTTATCTGACAAGTGTGGTTCATCAGGACTCCTACATAAGAACTCTACTGAAAAGGAAAACACATGAAAATGTTTTACAAGTGAATCAAATACACATTAATATTACTGGAGGCAGTGTGGCAACAGGAACAGAGAAGGGGCACACCTAACTGGAGATCTGGGGTTGTCCCTGGGGGGAGCTCTGGTGGTACGGTCCACAGGGAGTTACACAGTTAACACAAACGCTACATATCTCAAGCAGTTCAAGTTCACCAATGGCTCTTCCAGACAAAGCCAGGCAGTCTATTCTCTTTTTTAAAAACCCAACAGAGGGTAGCTAGAAGTCAGAAAGGACTCAAAGCAGAGTGAGTTTTCATCATTTCTTAAAACAGTATCATCTTGAGTAAATCACTATATTGAGTAAATGTAATTGAGTAAAACCATTCTGAATCTCAGGTTTTCTCCTTTTGCTTCAATTGGGTGTTTTTGTTAGATGGCTTTGGGTTTGTTTCTGGGTTGTTTGCTGTCGGGTGTTTTCTCCCCCCTTAATTACAAAATTCCTTTAACTATAATGTTGTTGTTGTTGTTATGTGCTGTCGAGTCGTCTGCAACTCATAGCGACCCTATGTAAAACAGCCCTAAACCCTGCTCTATCCTGTGCCAATCTCATTGCCTCTGACACACCCATCCCGATTACCCCAGTCACTGAATCAATCCACCTCATAGAGGGTCTTCCCGTCCTGCGCCGTCCCTCCACTCTGCCCAGCATGATGTCCCTCTCCAAAGACCTGTCTCTTCTTACAACATGTCCAAAGTACGTCAGGCGAAGCCCCAGAATCCTTGCCTCCAAGGAGCAGCCTGGTTTAACCCTCTCTAGGGTGAATCTATTTGTTTTCTTGGCAGTCCATGGTACATTCAGTACTCTTCTCCAGCACCACAGCTCAAAGACATCAATTCTCCTTCTATCCTCCCTAGTCACTGTCCAACTCTCTGATGCATAACAAGTGATTGCAAAAACCATGGCCTGTATCAGGTGCACCTTAGTCTCCAGAGAGACACTGTTACTCTTGAGTACTTTAGAGAGGTCCCTAACAGCAGACTTTCCCATCGCAATACGTTTTTTGATTTCCTGGCTACTGGTGCCAAGAGTGTTGACCGTGGAGCCGAGCAAACTGAAGCTGTGAACAATCTCAATCTCTTCACCATCCATCCTGATGCTACCGATTGGTCCAGTGGTGAGAATTTTTGTCTTCTGGACATTGAGCCTCAGTCCATATTGAAGGCTGAAGTCCTTTACCCTCTGCAGTAAGTGCATGAGGTCCTCCTCAGTTTCAGCGAGCAGGGTTGTGTCATCTGCATAACGCAGATTGTTGATAGATCGTCCACTAATCCTAACGCCACGCTTCTCCTCATAGAGCCCAGCCTCTCGGATAATCTGCTCTGCATACAGGTTGAAAAGGTATGGAGACAGGACACATCCCTGGCGTACACCCTTCCCAATTTTGAACCAGGCAGTGGGATCCTGCTGGAATGAAGACAGGAGATGAGAATGGTTGAATAGGTGGATCCAGGAGCTTTTTAACAAGATTCTGTTATTTGTTAGAGTAGGAAGAGTGAGAGAGACTTCAAATGACACCTGGCGTTCAGGGTTGGTACCCTTCTCTTTGATAAAAGTACAGAGGAAGGAAAAGTAGGTTTGGCTAAAAAATTAAGAAGTTACGAATGCACAATGAGTAAACTATTCAAGGTTGAGGAAAGCAGCATCCACAGGAAGAAAAAGAGTTGCTACCCCCACAATGCAGAGTGAAAACTCTTTTGTCATTTTCAGGGTGCTGAGTACTCAAGAAGGTCTCATTTAGCCTTAATTCAACATGCCTTAGCATCTCTCCTTATAACAGTCGTCTTGACCACACACGTGTGAACACTGGCTCATGGACTTGCTCCCTCACCAAGCTACGTGCAAGATGGGTATGGAGCCAAGATGCCCACAACCATGAAAGAAATCTAGCAGAACCAAACAAATCAGTCACAATGGAAGAAACTGAGAAAGTTATCAAAATGCTACCATAACCCCAAAACAAAAGCTCCTATCACGGGTAAAAAGTCCTAATGAAGAAAATATCTTAAGGAATAGATAGGCTTAGCTCATAAAAAGACACCAAGATGCTTCTATTGTTCTTAAGATTTTCTCACCTTCTAGTGAAAATGCTGGTCAAATGAAGCATTATTCGTGTGAATGCTAAGCAGCTTTCAATACCTAAAAGTAAATTTCCAACTGAGATAGTCTTCTATCAGCAATATCGGTATGAAATCAAATCCTGGGATGCAATAATCAGTTGAGGAGAGAGAGACTTCAGAACCTGCGTAAAAGAATCCTTCCTCTTTAAAGGTAGGAGACAACTACACTGGCACTCATGTTTGGTCTACAGAAGGATTTATCTTGCCTTTTCTCTTCCCGTCAGTACCCCTGAATCTGAAACTTAGTGGAGCAGAAGCACTTGTAACTACAACAGAAGGACAAGAGAAATCATTTTCATCCCATTGGAAACAACTCAAATATTGT